GTTAACATTCCCAAGTAAAAATAGGGTTGTTGCTCTGGTCCACGTCTGATCATTTTCAGGATCTGGTAACAGGAGATGAGGTGTTAATTGATCAGAGGGAAGAGGACGCTCATTCCATCGGTAAGCATTTTGACACACATAGATTTTTTCACAATGCCAGTGGACGCCAGTGGGCAGCACAGAACTAGCAAAGTAATTTTGACACCTTGGAACAAAAAAGCTGAAGCCAAAGCAGTGAGCAAAATGAATAAAATGAAAAAGAATTATCTTTAAGAGTGGGAATTTAAAGAGTTCCTCTGCTCTGTTCTTCCAGATTGTAACAAAGCCTTCTAGGAGTAACAGACAGTTTACAACTAACCTGCAGCCATGACTCAAGAGCTCAATTGTACTGGGAGTAACAGCTTTCCTCCTGACAAGCTCAGGTGATGGGGTAGAAGACAGCAAAATGAACTATGTTAATCAAAACATTCCTTTTACTTCCCTGTATGAGGAACATGTGAATTCTCTGTCTGGAAAATTACTGGTTAAATTGACAGTGATTGTTTTTGCAAATACTCCAGGACAATAATTGTGTCTTAGCACAGGGAAGTAGAGTTCTGACTGTTAAAAAACCCCAACAATTTGGGGACAGTCCATCAGAAGTTTCTTTCATGGCAGTCGTCCTTTTTTTTTTTTTTTATTTTCTTAATTTCCAATAGAGTTTTCTTATTCAGGAAAGGAAAAGATGGTGATTTTCAGGATTATTCCAAATGTCACAGTGAAAAAAGAAACATGATGAGAAAAAGGCAACGATTTTCCCTAGAAGGCCTTAAAAATCCCCTCCCTTAGCAGGAGAGAGGATTTTGTTTTACTTTTTCTTCCTGAGGTGGCTGGCTTCAAGCTATATCTGTTTACCAGCAGATTCAAGGAACAACATTGTTTAGAAATAAAGTTTCATAATAGAGAGGCCATAGCAAAAAAATTTGCAGGAGCTCATTTAGCAGTTCTGGATTTTCCAGGAGACTGTTTTAACTGGGGCACTGCCTCACCGTCAGGGTGCAGGGACACATGCTGGATCAAGATTTGTATCATGCAATGCATGTCAAAGACAAAACATGTTGCAAAGCACTGAAATAAATAATTCTGCCCACAGAAATATTGATACGGATAAGAAGAAACTACAAAACATAGTATACCTTATTAACCCTTCAATATTCCTACTTACGTTTTACTACGGACAGTTTCACTGGCTTTGGGTCAGACTTAGAGAAGATTTGATTCTGGGCTTTTTCAGGCACCAGAGGATTCCCAATCTACTTCAGTAAGGGATAACAGGAGTTTTTTTTATAACTATTGACTCTCAGATCCTCAAACTTATTATATCACATATGGCAGAGCCACTGTTGGTTCTGTGCTTACAAACAAGGTGATTTCTTTGGTTCAAATATCTGTGCAGCTATTTAGCTGCTAGCAATGGCTGAGTGGTTGAGGTCTCTACAGCAGTGGTTGGCATTGCGAGCCTCACACGGAGCTAACAGTCTTATTCCTCAGATAAAGGTGTCTGAAGTGTGAAGCATTCTGATATAAATAACACTAATTATGGGTGACTACTCTGGAATTCTTATTTTACAGCTATACCAGAGGGAAAACGTACATCAGAGTAATTTGAGATATACTGTATAATGGAAATGTTCTGTCATGTATCTCCTGATGAATTTTCTTCCCATGTCCCCCGCCCCCCTTTTATTTTAAATGGCAGCACTCCTCTAGGTTCATAACACCATATGAGACAGCTATGGGAAGAGGGAGCTTTGAGCACAGCAACTGATGATTCAAATTGTAGACAACCTGCGGAGGCCTCAGTTTCAGACCGTGAAACGAGAAAAACACTTTTTTCTAAGTCTGACTCCAATGTGTTCACGACAGCCAAAATCCATTAAACCCCTCTTTTTCAAACCTGAACTCCATGTTCTAGGTTAAACCTAATCTAGACCTGAATGTTATTCCTTGGCCTTCCTGAACATTACACTGAAAGAGCACTTACATTTCATCAAAAGGAAGCAAAGCACTTTAGAAAGTATGTAACTGCTCCACTGAGGGTGATGCAGCCAAGTGTGGAGATATTTTTTTATCTTTGCATTCTAATTATAGATGCTTTTATTTACTAAAGTTACAGTTAGGACTTATCTATTACAAGCCTCTGAAATCTCATTTTGCTAAAATGAAAACATATTTCAAATGCTTTGGAGAACTATTAAGATTATTGAATGTCTAGCATACTCCTTCAACTCTCCGAGTGGTTCACTAGACCCCTAGGGAACAGCCAAGCAGCATACAATTATCACAGTAATTAAAAAGGTGCAATGACTCTTCTCTTAAAGACTCCTGTTTTATTAATTCTATGGTATGCTTTGGAGACTGGCATTATTTTACTACTACCCAGCTTAATTATACCATCATTAGTTTATCAGCATCTCTTTTTAAGCCCTTGGGCCAGTTATTAGCATGTCACTTGCTAACAGTTAACCAATAACCACTACACCTTCAAAGCAGGATCTTCTGCTATAAAAAAGCCAATTTGTAGAGACAGATTTAATATCATCATTCAATTTAAATTTTTCAGTCAGCCATCTCTTTCTGCTTTTAATTTAAGAGGGTTACTGTTTAGCTTAATGAAAACACAAATAATGCTGGTGTATTACAAGATGTTACCAGGTAATAAAATACTTCCAGTACATAGTGGTTTATGAGACTGAGTGCACGTTTTAATACTCAACAGTATGCACCACTGAAAAGACCAGAAAGCATATGATGTTCTTAAACATAACAAAAATTCTGGATTTCTCTCCCTATTGGGTCTGGCTGGGATGGAGTTAATTTCCCTCATAACAGCCTGTATGGTGCTGTGGTTTGGATTTGTGACTAAAACAAGGTTGATAACACACCAGCGTTTTGAATGTTGCTGAGCAGTGCTGGCACAGCCTCAAGGCTTTCTCTTTTTCCCACTCCACCTCCCCAGCAAGTAGACTGGAGGTAGACAAGAGGCTGGGAGGGGACACAGCAGGGACAGCTGACTCCACCTGACCAAAGGGATATTCCACACCATATGGTATCACGGTCAGCAATCAAAGCTCAAGGAAAGGAGGAGGAAGGTGGGATGTTCATTGCTTTGGCGTTTGTCTTCTCAAGTAACCATTATGTATGCCGAGGCCCTGCTTCCCAGGAAGTGGCTAACATCTGCCTGCCAATGGGAAACAGTGAATAAGTTTCTTATTTTGCTTTGCTTGTGAGCGCAGCTTTTGCTTCACCTATTAAACTGTCTTCATCTCAATCCATGAGTCTTCTTGCCTTCCTTCTATTTTCCCCCTGTCCCGCAACAGAGGTGACTGAGTGAGCGGCTGTGTGGGTACTTGGCTGCTAGCTGGTGTCAACCCACCACACTCTCTAACCCTTTAGTACAGACAGGCTCACTTACACAGCACCTAGTGTTACGTTATCTAATCATATAAGCAGATGATCAAACTAAGAGAAAAACTGTTTTAATTTTAAAATAACCGAAGTACTTGTGTATTAAATACATACTTACCTTGTCTAGACAGATAATTTTACATTATTACGAAAGGCATAGTGATCCTTCTCCTGAAGGGAACTCTAATTAATTTTTATGCCTCACTTTTGACTAAGCTGATGTTATCTTAGTCTAGTAAAGAAAATCTTATAAATAGTAAATACTTAACTATTATTATAACTTAACTGTACTGCTTTTTTGGTATTTTTCATTAAATACTTCTTTCCAGCAATGAGAGGAAGAAAAAAACCAAAAAGAGTATCAAAGAGTTAGTACTTGTATGAGTTTGCATCTTCAAAACTTAACACTGTGATTCTGACAGCAACTATATTTCATTCTATGTTTGACATCACACCAGTCGGTTCAATTAAAATGCTATTTAGCGGCTGACAGGTGGCCAGGTGACTTTACAAAAAGTAACTTTACTTTCATATGCAATGGAAATACATCATTATTTCTGTTGAAGTATGTATTTTTTCCCGTTAAAAAGACAAACACCACCAAGCCATTCTTTAGAAGATTAGGATCAATAAGCTAATACCATTTGCTTAGTCCCATTTCCTCTAGGTACACTTCTGCCTATCTTCCACCAGCTTTACAGCAGCAGAAAGAAGATTCAAAATATTGGGACAAAATACTAATGACAAAAAAAATTCCAGGTCACAGTATACTCTATTATTTTCTGAGCAGCTGAATCCCAAATTAATATCACTACCACTCTTCCTGAAAATTACTGTACAATTGCTTTTGTATAATAGGTCTACTTTGTGTCTTTTTACAGTCAGAGGTCAGCACTATTAATTATAACATCCAAAACAGGAGCCAAGACTGCTACACAGCACCACAAATAACACTGTCTCATTTAATGAAAAGACATGCTATCAGTCAGTCAAAAAAGCAGTCCTTTGCTAAAGCTCATCTGCTAATTGAGACTTAACAGTGCATACTTTTGCTGTTACACAGGATCTCTTTCCACTTTATCTACAAGTTTTATACACCTGACATTGAAAAAAGGAAAAGAAAAACCTTATCTAAAACAAACAAAGTTCTTATCAAGCTTGGGATACTAGCCAAAAAAAGAGAAAGAAAAAAAAGAAAAAAAAAGGATGAACTCACCTGACACCCAAACATACATTGGCAAGAGAGGGGTGTAATGAAATTGAGAGTTCAGTGCATACCTGATAGTGAAAATTGTTTATTTATACAGCACTCTACACTGACCATTTTAAGGCATGCACAGGTATGATTTCATCTACAATATACAGTGGCACTGAAGGTTGGTTTCAAGGTCATCGTAGATGGCAAATGCTAATAGCTTATACTTAAAAGAATTCAGTCTTAATTCCTGCAGCCTACTGGTTTAAGGTAGACAGTAAAAACTGCTAGTGAAATAACTTATATTTTCAGCCCTAGAAAGATGCTTACAACTTTCCAATCACTTTTGAGTACTCACCAGCACATTTTGTTCTTGTTTTGAGAGCTGGGCCAGGAGATCCAGTTCCTCCCTCACCTGGTCTTGTAAGCAACACACTGATTTCATATTCTGTGTCAGGATCCAGGTGCCCAATCTTATAGCTCGTGGAGTCCACAGGTTGTATATCATACCAGCTTCCACTTGAAGTTCGATACTCAACTTCCCTTTGAATAATGGGTCCATCCCCATTGATGGAATTGGCATTCAACTGTATCCACAGGTAAGTTGCACCGACTGAGGACAGCTGAGGTGGAGCAATAGGAACTGGTGGCTCTGAAGCACAATAAGTTACAAAAAGCAGCAATGACTATACTGGCATTTTTTCTGCTTCTAAAACATTCAAATAAACAATGGGCTTTGCATATTGCAGTTTATTGGAAATAAGTTAATCTGTAGTGATGATTTCTTCATATTTTTATGTGATCTTCAGCTCTAATATAATACAATCCTTTGCTTATGCACTTAGAGATTTTAACATGAAGCTTTTGTTTTATACCATATAACTTCAAACCAGGTGCAACTGCGATTCTATTCGCTAGACATTACATGGCAACTTTTAACTTCCAATTTAAAAAGAAAGATGATCTCAGGTTTTCTTATCAAAATACGGTTCTTACTGGATGTAAATATAAATCCTACTCAAAACTAACTTTATTAAGCTAAAATTGATATTTTAGTCTATTCTTAGACATAGCCAGAACAGTGATTTCTGCATGAAAACAAAATGAATGTTTATTCATTATTTCTCACAGACTGTACTACTCAGCCTTCAGACTTTCAGATTTCTGTGTAAGCAGAATAAATACAGTATTTTTTCAAGTCCTATATCCTGGTTAAACAGAAAGAGCTTCTAAATGAGAGCTGGGGGAATTCTTGAGTCTTTACTATGACTCTGACTCTATTTCATGTAATGGCTTATTTTCACTAACTACCACACAGAAACAGTACTCTGTCTCACAGAGAAAGCATGTGTGTGATCTCCTGATAGTTTGCATTCTAAAGATTTTAAAAGTGAGCAAAATTTTAAATTATTACGTGATGGGCATTCATTTTGAATTAGACCGCAGAAATAATTTGCAGACATCATCACTTTTTAAAGGTAAATAACAAATTCATTTTTTTCCTATTGATTAACCGGGAAATTACTCTGTTGTTTCATGCATCACATCTGCACAAAATTCACCTTCCCACTGGTTAAATATATTCATGTAGAATGAAACCAGGCCGCTGTAATAAGGCACTGTTTGATCCAATATTCTTAACTTCTCTATTAGCAAACACTGCCACCTTCTTAAGGCTACACAGAATATGTAATGAACATAGAACATCTGTCTTCCCTAAGCTGTAGATTCAGATTTATCCTCTTCTGCTAACCATTTCCCAACATGTTGAGATATAGGTAGTCAAAACAGAAAAGAAGTTGAATTTATATTTTTCATCATTTTCCCAAGGACTTCAAAGTCAGAGTTAAAGCAAAGAACATAAAAGAATGAAGCACAAGGGAGAAAAGAACTCTGGAAATAAGTATTAATATTTCCTGAGAAATAGTAGAATCGCTATTTTAACAAACATGTAATTATCCTACGTTATGATACCTTTTTTCATTTAGAGAACAGTATTCAACTCACAGAGCACTAAGTACATTGAAGATTAGCTATGCCTCAGATAGATAGTGTTTCTAATTAGCACTGTACACTTGTACCTAAGCTTCAATCTGTGCAATCTGTCAGTACTTGCTGATATATGACATCACAAAACAGCAAACATAGGCATCAGCATTATATATTTTCATCTTAACAAAACTAATTGATTACTATCATGAAGAATATGATAAAGTGGGCAACAATCCAGAATGTCTCCAAAGATGTCTACTAATTATTACTGATTGCAATAGACATAAAAATAGCTTAATATATTGTGGTAGATTCTAGTACATAAATAAAAGAATATTGTTTACATTTTCAAATCACTAGGGAAAACACTGTTATATGTCAGTAGCAATATATGGCAAACCGATGTCATCTTTCGGCTAGACACATACTACAGTTTTATTGAAATTGTTGTTCCTGAAGTATATAAACTATGGCTTCATACAGTGAGAGCATGGCTGGAAACAGTTCTGATTTGACTCAAAATGATTTAGCATCAATTTAAATCATTAGGCTGTTTTGTGAACCAAGACATGAAATGGAACTTTTATAGAGCATCCTAAGGCATTTATTTAGCCATGCTGAAAGAACAGTTAATTACTTTCAAGTTTCAAATGCTACTAAAGTCTGTTGAAGTGCCATTCAAAATGCAAACTCAGGAGTTAGGTCACTAAGGTTAGTGGTTACACCAATTCATTCCAAGTATTACAAGTACTTGAAATAGACAGTATTTTATTGTCTTTTTATCCCTCGGGACATATTTTTCATTCCTTTGTGACCAAAGTGCAAAAGGTTAATGCAAGCTGCATGATTTCAGCAAAGCCTGCATATACTGCAGTTTAGTACTAGTAAGGTAGTTTAATACTAACAGTAGTCTTCTTACCAGAGATTGAGGTTACATAAAATGAACCTTTCATTACAAATACGATGCTCATTATTAAGTGACTGGTTAAAAACATGAGACTCAGAGTTAAGCAGACACTTTAATACAAAATGGTGTACTACCAAATATAATGAACCTATTTCATGACTAAGGTATGAAAGTTGTTCTTCTGATTTATTCCTCCTTTAGGCAGAATGATTTAATTTTTTTAGGACACTGAGGAGTTTGAATCACTTAATCAGGTAAGTACCAGACTGCAGCACCATCTTTCACTAAAAGCAGTTTTACTGGTGGCCACTGGGGTAGTCTCAGATAAATACCATGCAAATTATTTTCTGATTAATACTTTTATGAAAATGGTACAATAGACCTGTGATTTTACAGCTGTGTACATTCAAGGAAGGAGTTTCAACTGATTGCAGAAACAGGTTTGTACAGTGGCTATCTAGTACAATGGTTTAGCTTAAAGAGGAGTTCTTCCTTGTAGATCCCTCTTGAAACAGAAGTAAACAAAGTACTGTGAAAACCTTTAAAGATAGGCTTTTAAAATAGAATATTAACTCAAAAAAAGAAGCTAAGTTTATCCATAATTTCAAATTTAATGCTTTTTTGACTTTGGACAGACAGGTGACCTCTTCTTGAATTCTGTGGCAAGTGGCGATGGGCACAATACTTTATGGAAAGAAAATAGTGGCCAGAGGTCTGCAGACGACAGAAAGCTTTAGGCAGATGCTCTAACGTCACCCTATGTACATGGATCATTTACACTAAGTATGAGAAAAAGGCAAAGCCTTTATGATAAGGAGCAGCCCTTCTCTTATGCAGAGGATAAAACCAAATTTAGCCGTACATGCATATAAACCATTTATTCTTAGGTGCTTCTATATTAACTGGAAATATACTTGAAACGGCAACTCCTTCATTTACACTGCTTTGTGCTTTAAATTATACGGAATTTCCAAACATCTTCTACAAGATCCTAACTTCTTTATGTTTTGCAGTTCTTTTAAAATTTTAATAGGGAGGGGAAAGGCATCACACAGAGACGTCAGTGGAGATAATGTAAATCTCTGAGATTTAAGTGAGTTACAGAACACAAAAAATAGATATTTCTTCTCTGTGGCTCAGAACAGCTAACTTGAAAAATGAAAAAATCTACTTCAATAGTAACAATACCATTTTTCAATTTTTCTTTTGAGGTGAGAGAGTGAGAGAATGGAGCCATGCTACGTTTGTGGGGGAACAAGGAAGAAACATTTATCCTGCAAGCTAATTTCTTTTTAATTAAATAGTAACTGTTAGAAAGACGATGCCACGATATTCCCACGTGACACTGTTCAGGACATCATGAGTAGATGAAGTGATAAAAATAAGGTATCAACCATCTCTGATGTTATGTCCACATTAATAACATCTTAATTATTATAAAACTAATCAAACCATTATAATTTTATAGTCTTGAAATCAATTAAACAGCTTTAAGAATTTTTTCCTTCCATTTTCCTATTTTGTTTTTTTAATACATATATATATTATTGTGCTTCTCTTTTGAGCATGCAAATGATTCTACCCCTTTGGAAACAACAGAGAGCAGTGTCATTTTGCAGCATTTAATTGGGGATGAAGGGCAACAAATACCCCCACTGATAACAAAAGACATGGCAATGACTTTGAAACACCACAGTTCTTCATGCAATATTTTTTCAGAAGTCTTTAAATAATTCCTGCCAAAGCATTTAATTATTTTATTAAACAATAACTCTAAACAGTATGATGCATATAACACTTGAGCTAATTTCACACTATTCCTTTACTGAGGCTGTTCAGGATGAAAACTTGACCTGATCCAGTATCCTAACATTCTTAAAATTACTCGTAAATTCATCATTTAAGAAAATTTCATTGTTGTATTTTATACATATTTTTAAACTTTACAGAAAAACAAGTGTCCTTGTATCGCTCCCAAGTAACAAGCAATAGGACAAGAGGAAATGGCCTCAAGTTGCGCCAGGGAAGGTTTAGATTGGACATGAGGAAAAATTTCTTTACTGAAAGAGTGGTTAAACATTGGACCAGGCTGCCCAGGGAAGTGGTTGAGTCCCCATCCCTGGAGGTATTTAAAAGATGCGTAGATGAGGCGCTTAGGGACATGGTTTAGTGGGCATGGTGGTGTTGGGTTGATGGTTGGACTCGATGATCTTAGAGGTCTCTTCCAACCTTAATGATTCTAGGATTCTATAAACTGATAAGCCTATGCAGGTACAATCTAATTAGTTGAACATTAGTAGATATCCTGCTAAACTCTGTAGTAGTAGTAGTATTACCACCCATCCCTAACTAGGCATAAACTGTTCCCTTCCCCAAACATGATTCCTCCCAAACCCAATTGCTCTGACTTGCCCACTTCTGACTCGCCAACTCTCTTTTAAGACAGTGGCACCTCAGCCTGCACTGCTCTCGCTCCATCCTCATCTGCTCACACAAGTGGTTTAAACCCATCTACCTTTCCCATTCTCAGCTTTGCTCAGTTTTCATGTTCTCCCCACACTATGGTCACCATCCCCGCATTCCAAACACCACTAAATTCCCACCCCAGGTTTGTTTTTTTCTTACCCCAGACTGTATCTACAAGCTCTGTGCCTGTTCCTCTCCCTGCCTTCCAGTCTGCTGCTGTTCTTCTAACCATGCTTCTCCCTAGCATCTGCTTTTCCTCTCCCCTCCTGCACTAGACAGTTCCCCTT